TATATATATATATATATAAATGGAAAGTAACCGATTTTAAGTATTGTCTTAGCAATCATCAGAATTAACCTGCAGTTAAAAAACTAAGTAGTTTTAAAATTACAAAATGAAGAATGCTAACGTTGGGCTAATTTAACAAAGTCCAAGCACTGATATTTTGGGCGAAGAGAATTATAAAGGATGCTTCTTGTCCATAGCTTAGCGAGTTAAATTATTAGTTCTGCTAAATATCCAAAAAATTTGGGAGTTTAAATTGACAAAAAAATTGGTAATGCACGCTTGGAATAAACATAAAATTCTAGGTCACATTAATCGTTAATATTACTGGAAGCGATTACGGGGTTGTAAATTCATCTTCGCACATACCTAGGAACACAAGCAAATCCTGGCCTTAATTATTAGCAATTACTTGTAAATAAAGCGATATAGGAAATTAAATAATCACTTGTTGTAAAATCCCACACTTTAGCAAAACAGGAATTCATAAATCGTAATACATGCTTTTTCGAACATTTACTTGCACATTCTTGTTGGGTTAAAAACAGCTATAATTGCTTAATGCTATTGCAAAAAGCACCATACCTACAAATGCAACAATTTGAAATTTGTTTTATTAAGCCTAATGATGGGTTGCATAGTTATTTGTACTAGAGGCTATTTAACTTCGGTAAGAAGGCGGTTGAATGGCTAATGTCTAGATCTGGATAATTTGGGGATTAAACACTACCTTTTGAATGTGTTTGTAGGATGAACAGGGTGAAATTTACAAATTGAGGGATTTTGGATGCGTAAAGCAATTGGTTAGGGTGTAGATCTACGCATGCTAGTGTAATCAGAACTCTAAGTTCTCGTGGCCTTAGGTTGTATATTTCTAAGAATGGTAATGGTAAAACCATTTTTGCCTATCATAATAAGATATAAATCGACAAATGTATGGCAGACGTTGAAATTAAAAAGGTTGTTTTAGATGAAGTCCAGCAAATTGAAACAGAATCTCCCAAGTAGTGCCTCTACATTTGATAGAAGTGGTGTAAACGACATTGGTGTTCTCAGTACTGATCAACAGTCAGCTATGAAATTAGTCAGAGTAACTATTACTTATTCTTAATCCGTAAAAAGATTCAAACAAGAAAAGCCAACGAAATTTACCTTAGAGAACACCCTGAAATCTCACATATGTTAAGTGCATTCATGCGGTATTTGTCTTTTAATTTTACATACGGTCTTGCAGAGAGGTTCTTGAAATACAACCAGACGACATTAGAGAATACGCAGCAGGTTAGTCGTTTGATTTTTTAATAATTAAGTTAAAGATTTTTTTACAGATCCTAATTTGAAGCGAAAGGTCGAAGCTATACAAAAAGAGAATATTATGGAGACAAGAATATGCCATATAGCAGATAATTTGGGACAAGAGACCAACTGGTTTGACTGATAATGCAAGTTGTCCTAACTTCCACAACTGTTTCAGTTCAAAAAGATGGCCACAATTCCCATTTTCTAAATAATTTGCCCACTTATGCGATGGTATTGTGATATTCTTTTGAGACACGAGTCCATAATTGGTTTTTACTGCCACTAATGAGGAAATTTGATTCTAAATTGATGTGTTATCATTTGCAGCATGAAAGATCCTTTAAGTGAATTAATAATTCGATTAATTTGATCAAGTAAAACCGGTATTTTAATGCTGATTGTAACACCACTCTGTACTTACTTGTTGGTATCGCAAAAACTTAACGCTTAACTAAACTTTGAAAATGGGAAAATGCATATAAAATAAATTTTGCTTATTGAAAACTCTTTTTGACTGAAATTTATTTAAAAGAATGCTTGATTGTTTATACTAGGCTAAGAAGTCGGTCTCAACCACTCAATAATCACAGAGTGGTTGCAAATTTGCATATTTTGAAAGGTTTATCTTCTCTAAAGATTACCTCAGGAGTGTATTTTGTGTAGTAGCCTAGTTAGAGACCCTGAACAATTACCTTCTTCTAACCATGAATATACTGGTCCTGATGGTATTTGCTCCCACAAAATAGGTTTTGAATCAATATAAATCGGAAAATCACCCGAACTTAGGACAATTTAAGGTTTTTTTACTAAAATTTGACCAAATTTTAGGTGAAACTTGGTATAAATGAATATTTAATTCCTTTTTTCCTAATTTTATTCAAACCTCGTAAAGCAGTAAGTGTGTTATGTTATGTATTACCCTAATAAATTTACAAGTTTCTCCCTTGTACGTCTAGCATTGGTAAGGGATTTTTCAGTGCTTACAATGGGCTGCAAATTTGCCATTGAGTATGATGTTATTCGTTGCCTTATTATATTAATCGAAATGAATAAATTTTCCTCCGTGCTTAACTGACGTTAATTAGTCTCCCAATTGTTTTCATCGTTTGCCTCGATAGCATTAAAGACTTCTTAAAATCGTTAATTTTGTACAGCCCGTGAAAGTTAAATGTGTAGAAAAGAAACTCCTATTTAAGATAGATATCCTCGTTTTAACCTACATCCTTTTTAGGTGTCATTTGAGTTCGTTTTGTAAAGATGAATTTTCCAAATCAAGATCTGAACTTCTACTTTTAATAAAAAACCCGATTACAAGCTAAAAAATACAATTCTCTATCGCGTTAAGTTTAAAATAATTTCGGTGCATGTGTTGTTAGAGTCAGATGCATTTAGCACTCAATGTACGGCTGCCAACTTTACGAACCATCAGTTGAATGCTAGATTGTAACAATCCTCAGGTATTGCGTTCATACGAAAATATTTTGCATTTCATTCCTTTACGATAGGAATGAGTTACTAGACTCGTAAAAATGCGCATAATATCCGTACATTCTAAAAGGAAAAAACTTCCAATCGACAGAAAAGAAAAACCGTGCGTTGGTAAAAACGGAATCCAACAATGGCACTTCACGGAATCAAAAAGGGCTGTTAACATCAGTGATCTTTAGAAAACAAACAACCACTTGAAATGTAAAGAAAGCATATACAAAATGTTACTTTGTACTGATATGAGTGACTTGAGTAATTTCGGGATTAGGGCTTCTCTTTGTTAGAACCCTTTCGACCCTACAGCAGCAGTTTTCCCACATTCTGGAGCACATCTGCTTGAGCCGGTTGCGAAAGAATTTAAAAAAGAATATGTATGTGTATCCGTGACAGGCGTATTGAATGTCCTTGGTAGAGTTAAAGAGACGACTTAGTTCAGCGACTATGCTAAACTCGCAACGGGGCGTTGTGAAGTCGTGACCTGCGCGAACGCAAATTGTAACAGTTAAAGGGAGGGTGCAGGCAAAGGAAACGAAGGATATGAGGAGATATGTGATGACCCTCCTCATCTCCGTCCTACTCTCACTCGGATCATTGACGGTCGGATGTGTTGTTTTGCGTATTAGCTGGACAGAGAAAAGATTTTTTCGGCGACGCAAGAATTTAACCATTTGTCCGATAATGATGCAATTGATGGTTACGAGTAGAAATGTTGGAATGAGGAAGGTGATGACCGTCACGTTCACCTTTGTGTAATACTCGATTCCTTTGTCCATCTTGAATGCGCAGACCACCGTCTTACTGATATCTAAAATGAGGTGAATTTGCGACGATACACTATTTGTAAATTAACTTGCATTCCGTTAAGATATAGTAAGCTTAGACACCGTGTCAAGATTTATGGATAAAATCCAACTTATTTTTGCAAATTAATCGTTGCATTATTGAAATGATTCCTTCACGATCTGCTTTTGAGTTTTGAATAGAAATTACCAATTTCAATTACAAGTCTGAGTCAGCTGTTTGTCTCCAAAGTGGTGCACACGTTAAGGAATATATAAGTGCTACTTACATACCAATGCTGGCATATTATTTATGGACAAATAAATGGGAAAGTCACCAATTGTTTTACTCATCTTCCATGTTCAAGGAAGGCTAAATTGGTTTCATTTAGTAATTTTCCCATTTTGAAAGTTAAAATGACGTTTTGTCTTTGTTGTGCAGCTATAAGTTCAAATAATCTGTAAGCTAACATTTTGCGCCGTTCTTACTATTTCATGTACATTCAGGTAGTTTTGCAAAACTAGTTTATTCTGACCTATATCTGAAGGTTCCCTTTGGTTTACAGTCACAGACAGTGTACATTATGTTTACCTTTCTGTCCAAAGCGATTCATGCTACATTTTTTGTAAGTTGCAAATGTTATTAAAACTTTGCAAATGACTTTTAGGCATGCGAAAATCACACCAGTGGACTTTTATGTATACCACTTTCAAACAAGTCCAAAATTTCGATCCTATTCTTTTTCGCAGAGAGAGCATAACTGAGTCAGTGACATTAATAAATGATGTCAGAGTCGATATCTAATCATCCGCCAAAATGAGATCATTGAATCTGATTCACTTGTATATTAAAATTGGCATAAAGCCTGATAATTCATAGAAGAAAACGACTACGCTAATGTGTTTTACAACCAAGCTAATTTTATTTTATAAAATACTGAATATTTAACCACTATTTTATCACCTAATAAATGAAACCCATCACACCAGGTAGCAACATTTTGGAAAAGCATTACCTTAAGACATCAAAACTGTCTTTTGATGAATAAGGTTGACTTTGGTCTTATTATTTGTACTATCATGTGAGTAGAATTTAATTCTTCAGGGTGAAACATTTGGTAAATTGAAAGCACAGTGGATTAGTTGTGCAGCAAGGGTTCCGCTAAATATAACTGATCGGAAAGACTGGTACCATCATCGCGCTTTGGTCATTCTTAAATCACTTGAGTAAGTGAAGTCGGTAAGTGACACACTTCATGTTGATATTAAATTAAATATTTGTTCAACTTAACAAATGTAATGACTATAATTTCTCGATTTCCCTTCTTTTGGGGGCTGAATTTAAGAAAAAAACAGTAGTGAATTCTATCATAGTAGTATAATTGGAGCACATGTTACAAAGCAAAAGGTTCTAAAAAATAATAAAACAATTTTAACAAGTATACTTTCGTGCGTGAACCTAGCTTGACTATATGCTATTTCCAGATCCGTTTCCACATTGATTAAGCTCGAGAACCGGGCTAGCGTCTTTCACATCCCATCCATAGCCTTAAGCTAAATAAGGTAAAGTTATAGCTAGTTGCGTTGATAATAAGTTCTTGAATATTAATTTTCAGGTTAAATGTGATGTTTCATTAGGTTTTGGAATTCAGATAACATAGAGAGGTCTTTATTTTACAGCAAAATGCCACAAGGATTTGTCCTTGTAAGGTTTTAATGTGTCATTAAGCATCAATCATTTTAATTCTTACCATAAGCACTATGGAAGTGTATTTACATTGGGACTGGATTTTTGACATACTACACAGGACGCATGGGCAAGAATGTTTCTCTGTAGATGGAACCAATCGTCCACGTATCCATTTCGACCGGATTTCGTACTCTCCTACTTATTAGCCATCCACCAGCCGTTTTTGAAGTTGGAATACGTTCTAGCGATGGACTAGTGGATATGCACGCCAAACCAATTAATTATCCCTCAGAAAAGGGGAGCACTTAAAAAAGACTGTTTTATTTCCAGAACGAATCGGATGAGCAGTTCTCTCCTCCGATATAATGTTGTATCAGCTGATAGCTCAATAGGATTTCTACAAAACCTGTTATTGCTTGACAAATATATTAATCGAGATAGCAATATCATTTAAACTGGAACTTTGCTATTCAGCAAAATATTTTTCGATTGTGTAATCTAGTGATCCTTACAACACTCTAAAGAAATTCACGTTAGGAGTGTAACAATGCACCCGAATATAACTTTTGCATGAGTTACTTATTTGTAGCCAGATAACATGCACATACCTATAATTAAAGGCAGATTTTTTTTTCAGTAAAAATAAAATTTGGATTGATTTAAGGTACTACGGGTATAGCGTGAGAATCTGTAGGAGTTTTGTGTTCTGGAATTGCACATTAGTGATAGTATCTCAAGTTTTCCAAATTTTTCCAAGTTTTGATCCAAGTTATGAGACCATGATTATGTTAAAACTTTCTTTTCATTGTCACCCACTTACCAGGAATAATTTTTAATCCGCAAGCAGGATTATTTTGCACTCGTCGATATCAATTACTTGTGTTTCAACTTCCATATAAACTCTTGTATATAAGTTATTAAAACCCCAGAATATCAAGCTTTAGGTTCATTTGCCTTTTTCATCATGCTAAAACTTCAATGGCGTGTCATGTTTAAAAAGGGCTATTAAATCCTAAAGCTCGCCATTAATGTGTATTACACATCACGCTTTATAGTGATTGTCAAGTCCTGGAAGACCATGGAAATTCCCACTACAGAAATTATTCAACGTCGTGACAAATTAAATTGTGGTTTTTTGGTGATATTAGCAACACAAGTCCCTTTTCCGCTTCTGAACTTCTCACACCCCAACAGAACCTTTTCCACAATCATAAAGTTTGCTAATTCCCATAAATCAGAAGCAATCCAGGTTGGAATGTATGATCTAAATCGCACTAAACTATAGAAATTCGGTGTTTGAATGAGTTAGTAATGCATTTTTTATCTTAATTGTTTTCTTCAATAGCATTGGCTTGGTATGGTTACCTCATTTCCCATCAACTTATAGGCATTCCTTAACAGAGCTGTCGGACGCTTAGAATCCAAACCTGTTTGCTTATTCAAGTGATCAATCAACTCTAAGTGGTTACACTTTCATAGGCGGGTTTTCTCTAAGTTTAATTGCAAGTAGACTTCACTCGGCGCTAAATATCTTTTTAACAGAATAACTGCATTAAAAGAAATTCTTCATACCTTCCATTACATCTTCGAATCCTGATACCATTTATGAAAGGTAAATAATTTAAAAAGTCGCCATAAATGAAGCCAAAGACGTGATTTGATAGGAAATACTTCCCTTCAAATTTCTCTGCAGTGGTTTCAACAAGGTTAAGCGTCGACAGACATTAAACCTGTGTGCTACTCCTTCAGAGCAATCAAGGTGTCGTTGCAAAACCTAGATACAGAATACGGAAATTCGTTTTGGAAAGGGGGGCAATTTTCCTTAGTGAAGAAAATAAAAACAATCCCTAAGGCACTGCATGGTCTCTTGTAGCTGTCTTAAAGGTGACCGGTGTGATTAAAAAAATAGCATGCTATTTACTAGAAAACCGAATGACTTCTTAGAGGGAATGTCTGAAATGACGCAGATGCAAACCATCGATGGAGCATCAGACTTTGGATAGTAGACAGTGCTTTTGATGGCATCAAATGGTATTCTTTTAGATTATGGCAAATAATTTTAGTCATGGTGTTGTTACCTGGAAAAACTAACTTACTTTTCGTAGCTCCTGGAAACCATACCTTCGTTGTTGCCTGACTTTCGTATTTTAATTCAGAGCCTGCTGCAATGGGGGCACTAAGTGCGGCTCCGACCACCATTATTCCTAAGTACAACAGTATAGTGCTGCATATATGGCGATCTCGCTGAAATCGGTGAGGAAGGCCGATGGAGAGTACTCTGTCTATTCCAAAGGCGAGCATTATGTATGCTGCTACAAAGCTGCTCCATGATTCAGCAAATTCAAAAAATTGGCAGGCTGAAAGAGAGGCGGTGTCGACTTTGATGCGAACGTTACCGTTGGAGAAGTAATAGAGGCCACGGCCCAGGAAGTCATCAATGAATGCATTGAGAAGGAGAACAATTGATTCAAAAATGCTCAGAGCAATTGGGTACAGATTGTAGCGAGTAAGGGGTTTGTTCGTCAAAAAGAGGTAAAACACCATTATGTTGGCGCCGATGCCAAGTACAAAAAGAAGGGGTGAGATGAAAAAACGGACGCTTGCTACTAATGTGAATAGAGTATTCACTACATCAGAGCAGTCCACCATGCTAATAGAAACGCCTATCTTTGAAGAAATTAAAAAATTTAAGACTTAAACCCCATTGACTGCTGACCTTAAATATGTTCAGGGATTGGGTGTTTTCGTAGCGGCTCGTGTTTGGTCCGATATTCCAACTTGCCAATAAGGATTCGCGGACAAATGCCGGGCACCGCCATGGCTTTTCCTACCTTTAAATGATATATAAAATTAAGCACTTAGCAAATCGTGGCTATCAGTTTGATTTATTTGTTTTTTTTCGATATTACTAAGTTGTTCTGACGTGAATGCGTTTGGTTATTTAATAAAAAATCCCAGATCTAGTCAGAAATGATGTGAATTTAATCATGAACCGGTTGCCCTCCCCCCCCCCCCCAATTGAATTCATTTACTTTGTCTGCCATAGTAATAATTGTATAACAATTTCACCTTCAGAGTAGGAATCTACGAATATCCAGTTGTTTGTAGCAATCATCCGTTAAAGCCGCAGACTACTGCGGTCACATTTGCTTTAACGCTTTATCGTACACGAGTTTATTCAACTTAATTGTTAAAAACTAGCTCTTCTATGCTATTTGCTTATAAAGACATTGTCTATTTTCCAAATTTAAAGGGGTTATCTTGTTAAATTTGAATCTTTGTGGATGGATTTTGTATCAAAGTAAGGTATATTTCTATGATGAATTCAAGGTTCATTTTTAATTTACCTAAAATAACATCTTATTGCCTCAGAGTAATTTGTATGACGTTACGAATGAAAGGATTTTATTGCCAAGTATTCAATGGTTACATATTGATTACAATACGTTTCAATATCCTTAACCTTCAGTGTCAGTCTTAAAAATTACTTATGCTTCTTACGTTTTATTATGAACAAAGGTCATTAATTAGGAGGATGGTGACTTTGTATCGGTAATTCGGGTTACAATTGAAGGTGTATATCAACAGCTAGGGCTTATTAGGACTGAGTTATTTTTGAGGGTGTTTCTTTCTTCCTCTTCATTTTGTTTTAACGCACGGCAATTAAATAACTGCAGAAAAGGTCACCATATTTTGTTCAAATTTCTTAGTGTTCAACAATCGTTGCAATTAGTCCTCAAATCTTTGGTATGTATTGCTTAAGTTAAATAGGAAAAGTAACATAAATTAGTAACAAGTTTAGATGCCTTCAGTACAATTTTGATTAATTTTGAACATCACAATATGCGAGAACCAACCCACATTAGAGGTCCTTTTAAGTAGATGTGGATTGTAATGAAGATCAAGCAGAATTGAGCCTAAATTGTATCAGTAACCATTGCTAACACCGAAAGTATGCGCCGATGCGTTGGTACGAAAAAAGACGGAAATAACTTAG